TGGGTGGCAATCTTATAAACTCACATAAAAAGCCATATTGTTTTTCCTAATGCTGGGTACCATTTAAAACCTCAAGTATAAAGCATCCAGCTTCATACGAATGGATTTCTTTCCCAGTTAAATGCAGGGCATTCTTGCCAGGTAAAGAGACACTTTCTGCTTGTTGTGTGACAAAATTTTCCCTGGGGGAAAATGAAACACATGTATCTTCTCATTCCAGATAAGAAACCCACCACAGACCAAAGTACAGATAACACCAAAGTCCAAGTTGATCAATGAATAAGTTTTATTGGGGGTTACTGAGCAATATGGGTGAGGGAATACTTACAGGAGCAGAAATGACTGAAAGTTCACTGCTTCACCAAGCCCGCCTCCGCATGGGTGACAGCTCACAAAAGCTGGGAACCTGGAGCACGCTGCACAGCTTGGAGACAGCTCAACTGGCTGAAGAGTGCCCCTTGCAGGTCTCTCAGTTGGTGTAAATCACTTTCAGGCAGCGCCTCTGGTTTCTACTTCTTCCAGGCACCTGGTCTGCTCTAGGAGTCTTCTTTGCAGCTTGACTCTGCCAGCCTTTAGGGGGACTCTGAGCTTTTATTGCTCACTCTGGCAGGGAGGGGTCTAGTGAATTTGGTCAGTTTCAGGGACTTCCTGGAGTTTTTTGTTTGTTTGTTTGTTTTTGACTTGTTTACCTTCCTGCATAAGGAGCTTCCTACAGGATAGGATGTTTCAGTCTCAGAGGAAACTGTTACATAACATTGCTACATCTTCCGCTCTAAACAAATCAATAAAGTTACAACCCAACCAGGGGCAGCATAGGAAGAGAACACAGAATTTTGGGTAGGAAAGTAAGAAAGATAATGACAACATTCAGGAAAATTATTGTTTTTATTGGGGCGCCGAATAGAATTTTAAAGCAGTCCCTTACCTCCTGAAATCCTTCTGGTTTTACATGAGTTTCAGCGGAAGCTGTTGGTAACTGTATATACAAAATATCGAAGTAAGCTTGTTATCGAGAGCAGTGTTAAATTACTCAACTTGTAAACCCACAGTTGTGCGGCTGGTTTGTAAGGCCTCAGAGAGGTATGCACCACACATCACATTCTTTCTGTGTCAGTGAGCACAAACAGAGAAGATTCAGGGATTAAGAAGGCTTTAAAAAATACCAATGGAAAGAGAAAGTAGCAACACTATTAATACTATTGAGTTGTACAATGCCCCTGGACTTAACTCAACACCTGCTCTACTCATTCTTACTGTTTGCTCTGACTGAACTCCTTAGAATACTGGCTGTGTGAATTACATACTTCTTTAGAGTCAGGGTCTTCCTGTGTAGCTCTGGCTGGCCTGGAAAGAGGTGTGCAAATCAGACTGGCCTTGTACTCAGAGAGATCCACCTGCCTCTGTTTCCCAAGAGTTGGGAACTAAAGGTGTGCCCCACCATGACCAGCTGCATACTTCTTTAGATGCCAAACATCCCATGCCACCATAGGCTGAACTCTGAAGATGGGATTATAATGTACCTACATCAGATATAAGGATTACATAAAACAATCAACAAGATCTCTGCTGCTTTGTGGCTGCTCATTAAATTGTTGATGTCCTTGTAATACCTTGAGCTCAATGTGCTCCCTGTTATTGACATTGGCAACTCTGCCAACACTTCCCAAGGCTGGATGCTAAACCTAGCCAAGGTACTGTTTGCTGCATGTATCCTTGACTGCTTTGTATGGTGGCTAAGTAGACCTGCCCATCTCAACTGGGTACCACCTTTATCCATCCCACACCCCTTGGTTGCAAGTATGTACTATAATGGATCTTGACATGATAGAGGCACCCCCTTGAAAGACCTAAATCTCAGAACAAAAGTAGAATTTCAAATGCTACAGAGTCCAGTTTTACTTGGTGATGTGGGAGTGTCATATATCAATCTGTTGATTTCATTGGTTAAGCAATAAAGAAACTGCTTGGCCCTAATAGGCTAAAACATAGGTGGGAGGAGTAAACAGAACAGAATGCTGGGAGGAAGAGGAAGTGAGCTCAGAGAGACGCCATGCTCCCCTCTCCCGGACAGACGTGATAGCTCTGCTCTCTGAGGCAGACGCATGAAGCTCAGACCCAGGATGGACATAGGCTAGAATTTTTCCCGGTAAGACTGATGCTACACAGATTATTAGAGATGGGTTGATGGGGATATGAGAATTAGCCTGTAAGGGCTAGAGTTAATGGGCCAAGCAGTGTTTAAAAGAATACAGTGTCCGTGTAATTATTTCGAGGCATAAGCTAGCAGGCGGCCGGGGTGCTGGGGATGCAGCCCCGCCGCTCCTATTTACTACGACTTGGACACAGTCGTGCCAGGATTGGGACAAACATCTTGTTTGATTCCAAAACCAAAACAGGTCAGGTGTCTTACAATCAGGGTAGCAGGGACAGGAGAGACCATGTTCCCACTATGCAGTAAAAAGAAGGAAATCATGGTGTGCCCCACACCATGGGTAAATTTCAACAAAAGTGCCATTCTGAGTGAAGAAACCCAATCAAAAATGGTATATTGTGCCAGTCGGTGGTGGTCCACTCCTTTAACCCCATCGATGGGAAGGCAATGGCAAGCGGATCTCTGTGAGTTCAGAGCAAGCCTGGTCTACAGAGTGAGATCCAGGACAGCCAGGGCTACATAACACAGAGAAACCCTGTCTCGAAAAATCAGGAAAAATAAAGGTATATTGTATACTTATACTTTCATGTCTGTGACCTTCCAGGACTGGTAGAACTAACCCAGGTTAACAGGAACAAGATGAACAATAGAAGGGCAGGAAAGGAAGAACTCCATTCTGGAGCCATTAGGGATGTTTGACAGGTAGGTTGGTTACTTCGCATATGTATTTTACTAAATGTGAACAGAAACATTTCACTAGAGGAAAATTGTATCTCCATAATGTAAGTAAAATAAATAAATAGAAACCAGTGTCTGGAACAAAGGCATGGCGAGGGAATTAGAAGATGCAGAGGCCTTAATGTCTAAGATGTACTCACTGAGAAAGGAGTGCCCAGAGTGTGGTACATGATGCATTATTATAGAAACAACACTGATCAGTGGCTTAGTATGTGAGTAAAGAAGGTAGAAAACAAGGTGATTAGAAGGTAAAATTCCCTTTTCTTGTGACTGATTCATGGCATTTGGTTTTTATTGTTGAAATCCCTGTTGTCTCTTCACACCCTTCTTCCTTCCTATTACACGGAAAATACAAACCCTCAGCCCAAACCTGACTGAGTGCTGTTCACTGGATAACATGAGCAAGTTGAACTCAGACACTCCAGGATTCCTCCAGCTCGACGTGCCCGTTCCCAAGTGGACTTTGAGTGCTGAACCTAACCTATCAGAGCAATACACTTAATCAATAAACCCCAAGGAATGATGTATGTTTACAAGGTAAAGCGGAAGTGTTTGCTCCAATAAAACATGTTACTTCCTTGGTTCAAGTGACTGTACTTTGCCTTAGCCCAAAAACGAATCTCACTGTCAGTCAGGATTAAAGATATCGAAAGGGCTTTTAAAGGGTTTAAAAAACAGTTTTTTATTGAAAATACAGGACACTGTAAAGTGGGAAATACTTCTCATCTTTTAATTCTCACTCCTCGGAGGTGGTTTTCATTACACCATGTGTTTATTGTCATTAGAAACATTTCTATTTGCAACATTGGTATATTTGTTGATATGTGAATGAAACAGTTGCATAGGGCATGAGGTCCACCTGCTCAGAGATAGTACCAGAGAAACCAGGAACATTAAACTCACATACTGTCCAAAGGAAGGGATTTACACAGGTTTTCCATGCAGACGGTGGGAGTGGATGGTTGTTTAAATAGCCTGATGACCTTTTATTATCTGTAGTGCCAGGCCTCACCCAAATCATCCATGGACTTTGCAAAAGAGTTTGCTATTATGCTTATCCCAAACCCTTACAATGAACTTCCTGTGGGATAATGCTTTTGCACACTGTAAAGATCTGTCACTCATATTGGTTTAATACAATGCTGACTGGCCAGTAGCCAGATAGGAAGTATAGGCAGGGCAATCTTAGTGCAGGAATTCTCGGAAAGGGCAAGACAGAGACACAGTCACCAGTCAGAAGTAGAAGGAGAAAGATGAGAATGCCTCGCTGAGAAAAGGTAGCAAGCCATATGGCTAAACATAGACAAGAAGTATGGGTTAATTTAAAGTGTAAGAGCTAGTTAGTAATAAGTTTGAGCTAACTGGCCAAACAAGTTTATACTATAAGCCTCTGTGTGTTTCTTTGGGACTGAATAGTTGCAGGACTGGGCAGGACCATCTACAAAGAAAGTTTTAATTTTTTTAAATCTATGGGTAGGAAAAATAATATTTAGTTTGTAGCAGTTCTTTAAGTAATTCCTCATTTCAAAAATAGTGTTTGAAGAAAATAGCCTTTTGTACTTTTAATACATACTCTAAACATTGAAGAAGGAATCTTCTGAATGGAAAGGAATGCTGTTATGCATTCCGAGAGGCAAATACAGTTTTCAGGCATCTGTAAGTCAGAAACCAAGTCCACACATCCTCTCTTCTGAGCACAAACAAACATTAGTTTTCACGGCCCACGGGTACTTAAAACAGAAATATAAACTGAAGTCATATTCCTACATCTCTCCCAGAATGTTTTCACAGGCATAGAAAGTATATTTTCAAACTGAAAGATTTCTTTTAAAATAAACTGACAAGGAAAACAAAACTTGAACTGCAACCCAATGTGATAAATCACTGATTCCAATAGTGTGAGAGAGCTTAGTGCGTAGAGGTGCTTGTTGTGCAAGCCTGCTGACTTGGGTCTAATCCCAGACAGAAGGACAGAACTGACTCCCCAGAGTTGTCCTCTGACCTCCACACACTCCCACACTTAAAAAAACACACACACACACACACACATGCTCACACAACAGTAATATTTTAAAATGTAGAAGACAGTAATGGATAGAAGAGACTGAAGTTCACATTTGATTAAAATGTAAGCATTTAATAAAATGATTACAACAGCACACAGTAGATAATTATAATGAAAAATATAGGTCAGGAAAATAATGAATTCTAGACTTAAAATTTCACTTTACAACAAGGCACTTAACGCATCGAAACAGTATAGTAGGTTTCCAAAGGAACGCAACCAGCTGCCGCTCAGACCTTGTAAAGGGATTTCCCGTCTGAATATACTGTAACTTATTAACCACACACTTCGCAGCATTAATCATTGCATAGGAGGTAAATTAAACAACGAATTCCAACTTGGCAGCTAGATTAGCTTATAGCTTCTCCTCTTTCTTTTAAAGGATAGTTTAAAGTAATTCTACAGTGACCCGCCCTGTCGTTCATGATTCACTAGGAACACAGTACAGTGATATTAACAAGTAAGAAACCAGAGCTTATGAGGCGTCTGTCTGTATAAAAACTTATCTTTGGGTACCTCTGACATGATTTTCAGGATAGGGATAGCCAAGTCAAGAGCACTTCTCTTCCTAAAATGCATTTTGTCAAATCAGTCAAAGGGGCTAAATTATTGCAACACAATGGCGTTAAAAACAATACCACCAGAAATCTTTACATATACACATAGAAAAGGTTCCAACGCAATGCATATAACTTACACTTGATTAACACATGTAAACTCATTTACTAGACGATTCCATCTCACGCTTCCTTATGCTAAAGGGGTGAGTGTGTTAAGACCAGCTTAAATTTTCAATCAGTTCTATAGTACAAAACCAAAACAATAACAAAAAGTTTAAAATATTTATGGAGCAAGATATGAACTTTAAATTAAAAATGAAATGAGTCGTAGCACAGAAGGAAAAAGACAGTTGACTCTGGGTTCGGAAGTAAACAAATTCTGGTACTTATGGACTAGATGTTAATAATGATTGCGATAGAAGAGGTAAAAAAAGACCCACAAATTTTCTTTGATGAGATTCTGAGCACTTTCCCTTTGGGAAGGATTTAGAATGTTTTTAAGATACCTTCTTCCCCATGAGAATTTCAGATTGTTTTGGAAAAAAAAAATTGAGCAACCACATCAACAACAAAAAGCCAAAAGACAGACTTTGGGGAAACCTTGAAAATCTATTTTTAAAGCAGCGTTTGCATTCCAGACGGGACACATCGCCACAAGGAGGCGCTGCTAGCACAGCCAAGAATCTACGCTACAAACCTGCCCAGAGATGTCAAGAGTTGACCCTCAGCCAGCCTTCTGCCCTCAGTAAAACCTGCTTCCTGAGACGCGGGCAACTCAAAGGACAGACACAATTAGCTTAGGAGGAATGGGGAAGGAGGCTTCCTTGTTTTGGATCTAGTGGATCTAGATCAACAACCCAAATTTGAAAGAACTCCATTTCCACTGGGATGCTTCAGAAGAAAACATGTAGCATCTGTTCTATATCACAGGCATTTTCCAGAAGTGCTGCGTTACAGGAAAGCCAGAAGCACGGGCTCACGAAAGCACAGGTAATGGGTAAGACCTGCATCTTTACTGGCAAAGAAAAGGTGTTGCAATCATTTACTGCTTTGGTTGGGTTGGGAGTGGTGGGTTGCAATCCCAGCACTCTGGAGGCGGAGGCAGGAGGATTGAAAATTGTAAGTCAATCTGGGCTACACGGTGAGATGAGACCATCTCAAAAATAAAATTATTGTTTCAAAGGCAACGTCACAATTGTCTATATTTTATATCCCCAATGGCATGTGGAGCCAAGTCTCCAATTTGCTTTCCTACACTGAAATGAGTTTGGTTATCTTTTGCATCTTGAAACGTGGACATCTCCCTCTCTTATTTTCAAGACACATGCTTCTGCATCAGCATCGACTAGAGAGCCACGGCAAACACACAGAGAACTTGAGAACAGCAGTTTCCACGCGAGACTCACAGGTGTTTTGGAAAGTGATAGTATTGTTTTTTCATGGCCTGGATGACGTGACTGGAATGCAAGGTTTTCTGTTCCCAACAATCAACATGCATTGTAATAATGCTTAAGCATTTCCTTTAACTGAAGAATCCCGGGGAATCCTAGCCACAGCTGGATAAGGCTCTCAGGTGTTTGGTTTCAATGAAAGCCTCACAGACCAAAACCGGGGCTGCAGCGCTGAGTACTTCTCTTGTAATAAGACACAAAAGTTAAATGCATGTTTCCAAGCAGAACACTTTGTTCTAACCCAAGATCAGAGTTGAGGAAATGAACATATGAGAACTGTATAGAATTGTCTCTAACACAAGGTAAACTAGGTATGTATTTACTATTGGCTTATTCCATAAAAATACAAAACCTTTGCACTCCCAACTCTGCCGAAGGTGTTTAGAGTTCGCACTCTGGTGAAGACAGCCAGATTGAGAATCTTACTCTCTCGCCTTTGAATCCAGCGCCCTTCCTTTTACCTACCCTATCACAGAAAAAAGAGACACTCTGGACACACACAGAATTTTAGCACCAGAGGACAATGGCCCTTCTGAACAGATCTGTATTGTGCTTTTGTGCCAAGCAATTTAAAGTTTAACTTTGAATAATCAAGGCCGACCGGCTTCCAAGGATTGACCTGAGGGTATTCCATTTCATCACAGCCAATGCAACCCTCCTTCCACCCTGTTCGGCTTGCCCCCTTCTGCTCCCATCCTGACAACCATGTAACCAGAGAATGTTTCTAACCTTAACGAGAAGGTTCACAAACTAATCTTAGTTAAGAAATCAAGGCAAGGATCATGCATACTAGCACTGAGTAACACATTAAATCAGATATTCTTAAATCAACCAGATTTTGAAAAAACAGTTCATATCTGACACAGTTGTCCCTGCTCCTTTTTCCCCCCTGTTTTCTCTCTCTCTCTCTCTTTTTTTTTTATGGTGGTGGTGGTGGGGCTTTTGTGAGACAGGGTTTCTATGGGTCTCCCTGGATGTCCTGGAACTTGCTTTTTAGACCAAGCTGGACTTGAACTCACAGAGATCTGCCTGCCCCTGCTTTCCGAGTGCTCAAAGGCGTGCGCCCCATGCTTGGCTCTCTGCTCCTATGCAGATGTAGTAATCTCAAGTGTGGTTGCCAAGGGCATGTTTAAGTGCAGCCCCATGTGGCACGCTCGCAGGGTAAAAGCCAACTGGCTCGGTAGTGGTGTATGGCCATAGGAGCACTTAGGGAGTAGAGTTCCTTGCTAAAAGACAAGGAACCAGTAAACCTTTGGAATCCATCTTGCATTTCCTGGAAAGCGCAATGCTAACTGAGAGGCGACTGTTTTAGTGGGATGTGCGCGAACATTTCTCTAGGTTCTGATTAGAAACACATCACAGCAGGGTCCACGCTAGAAGGGGAGCACAAGCATGTTCCCCGGTGAGTGTGAGCATCACTTCCCATGTGCGTTTGCAGCCCCTGCTGGTGCAGTTAACAGTGCTGGGCTCCAGGCAGGCTGCCTTGAATGTGTGTAGCAGGAAAAGCCCCACGCTTCCTGTGGACCTGTCATAGAGACTTGAAAGTCAGAAATCCACACACAGGAAACGTTCATGGGTGGGTCACTCTCATTTCCTTGGAACACCCCTTCTTTAGAAATACAATTATCAGTTAAAGGTTAAAAAACAAAAAAAAAGATGAAAAGTCATTCATAGCACATGGGGGGCGGGTAGCAGCAAAGCGAACCCCAGATGGCACCCTAACCTTCCCCCAGACTGGATAGAAACAAGTGCACTTGACCTTGACCCACTTTGACCCACCTGTGCCTTGCTCTCAGTGAGCTGCTTGGTGGAAACCTGCTCCTGCCCTCACTGCCTGCATTCACACAGTGGCTGTGCTTATCCAGACCCTTTATTTCACAATATTAGCAAACTCTTCTGACCTTGAAGGGAAAAAACAATCTGGAAAGAATGTGGAAGTGGAGAAAGAACGAGAGGCACAGCGGGTTAATGCCACCTCTTTAGGATCCCAGTTTGGAGGCTTTGTCACCCATGAGTGAAGAGCAGCAGGAAAATATATGTTTCTTGGGATGAATTAAAAAAAAAAAAGCCAAAGGTAATACTTCATTCGTTGCTCCGATCTTTTGCACAAAATTTGGTCCACTCCATTTACCAGTCAGTTCTCTGAAAATAAATACGAAGCTGCGCCTTTGGTTTCAGCACGGACTGTTTTGGTGGAAAAGCTGCTGCCAGGCTGGCGGCTCACGTAGACTTCTCGTTATCCTCCCCGATCTTCTGGACCCGTGAATACTTTTTGCATGATGACTTGAAGCAGCCAGGGGGCCAGGACAGTGGCCAGGAGAAGCAGCAAGGAATCGAGCCTTGGACGTTTTTCTCAAAAAAATAGAAGATGGGGAACCACCAAGCCCGAGACAAGAAATTTGTCTGGGAAGAGACCTTCAAGTTCTGTGAAGGTGGGAAAAATAAAATGAGGAATTGTCTATGAATGCAGTCTAGACTTTTCAATGAAATGGCACTTATTTATGTTGTATCTTAGCAAGGGAACAGCAGTGACATCCCATGGCAGTACCTGCTGTCTTGCCTTTCCCCCAGCTCTCCTTTGACCTTGGTGCCCCCCCATCCTGTCCTACACTCTGTGGGTCATGAGACCTCTGCCTGCAGTTCTCTAAGAAGGAGGCTCAGGAATAGATGTGAAGGGCATTCGAGAGAAATGTTTTCAGGATAGGTTGTGGTCAGATAGAAGGGCTAAGGGGGAGTGAAAGGAGAACTTGGAAGGCAGAACATCATCATGAAGAAAGATGGAGAGTTTGGTTTAGGTGTCTGGAAGCATCTAGATCACTGCGTGAGAAGGCAGAACAGAGGATTATTGAGTGAGTGACTGAGCAGCAAAGCCAGATAAAGGGATCCAAAGAAGGCAATGATTTGTGGACACCAAGAGCTCTGAGGAGACCTTTCAGTAATGACAAGCTTGTAGGTTTTACACACACACATATACACACACAGAGTACTCCACAGCACACTATACACACACAGCACAGCACCACCATCACCACCACCACCACCACCATGGGGTGATCTATTCCAAGATAAATAAGTCATATTACAGCAAGAGCATTGGCAAGGCTAGAAAAGCCTAGCAGGATCTGGGCGGGTGGTGATAGAGGGGAGGCAACCTTGGGCCCACAGGGAGAGAACAAGAGAAACAGGAAGCTTCCCAGGATGGAGGCAAGAGGGGGACACTTAAGCAAGCACTAGAAAAATGAACGGGAGAAGAATGGGGGTCATCCTGGAACAAGAAGAAGGGAAGATAGAGGTGCTGCTCATCCCGAAACATAATCAACAAGGCAGGGTGCAATCTCTCACCAAGCTGTGTCACAAGCTCTACGGAGAAGGTTCCTAGGTTTTCAGTTAGCATACAGTCCTCCAGTTCTAGCATCAACCAGCTGAGTTGGTAAAATAAGTTGTCCATAATTTTACAGTGTTCTTAACCCTCAGACAGCATGTAATATTTGTGAATTTTTTTTTTTGCCGTCACTTTTTAAAATAAGCAGCAGTGGCAGGAAGTTCAGCTGAACTGAGCAAACCGTACAGATAGGGAGCAACAACTGTCTTCTCCACGAAGCTATCTAAAACCCCCATCTATGGAAACGGGTCCCCTGCACTTCACGGGCATTGCTCACCCAAGGGTCTTCACGGCTCTCACCTTTTCGTTGGCCATGGAATGGTACCACCAAAACAGCCGTGTCGTGATGTAGTAAGCGATGATCACGTCGACGGTGTAGTGTTCGTGCGCCACGAGGATGCAGATGATGCCGGCAGCGCTCAGCAGCCAGCAGACCAGATGATACCACCAGAAGTGCCGAGGAGAATCTGGACAGAGGGAAACAGAGATGGACTCATGGACTGGCTGGCTGGGAATGGAACTTGACTTATGCAAGCCAAGGAAATGTCCTCCCACCAAGTTACATCTTAATACTGCTCCTATAACCTTGAGCAAACCATGAAGACTGCTATGGCAATGAATGGCTTTAGTTTGCCCAGAGGGCACAGGGAATCACATTAGCACACACAGTAGTCATTCTTAGGAGGTTGGTGGGCCCTAAGAGATATTCCAGGTTGTGCCTACCTTCAGCACAACTATTAAATAAGGAAGAGAACAGAACTGTTACTTAGATTGGCTATAGCTGGCTCGTCCTGGCAAGAGAATTAGTAAGGGCCTAAAGAAAAGGTCTATGAAAACAAGGAGGGCGAAATGAGAGATCTTAAGTTTACTTTTATTTCTTCAGGTGTGCCTCTGTGGTGGGGAATGTTACTGTGGCAAGCAAAATTTGATTCTCAGCAATTTTATAGCACCACTAGCAATGGTGCAGCTCTCCTCTTGGGCAAAGCTCTGGCTTCTTGCCCCTCCATGCACCGACATTTAGCCTCCTGCTGAAGTTACTGTGAAGTTTGTGCCACTGGCCAGCTGGGAGAGAACCGTGGCGCTTATCCGGTTAACACGGTCACAACCCCAAGTCCTTCTCACGTAAGTGTTCCTGAGAGACATGGCTGAGCCCGTCTGTTTGTATTATCTGGCCATCTGGTCCCCTTCCTTTTCTGTCTATTTAAAGCTTTACTGGCTCACAATAAAAGTTTAATGACCTAGTAGACTGAAATCAATTTCATATTAAACTTTGTTTATGTTCATAGCAACACACAGGCTCAATTGCAAAAGAACGGTTGAAGAGCAAAGAAAGTTCAGTCCCCAAAGCTTCAGACAATGGCTGAAATGGTTATCGGTTATTGTTCCTACACAAAGTGATTCTTGGTCTGTGGATCCCAAGTGGAAATACAGTCCTATATTTGATTCTTTCATTTCAGTGTCTTCCTCATGACTTAATTACTTCATCCTCCTGCTACATTCTCCAAGATAGCTCACAGAATCCTAGAACTGAAATGCCAGAAGAGCCCCCCGCCCAGGGGTGTCCCGTGACTATTGCATTAGAACCCTAAAAACTGAGGCAACCCCAACAAGGCTGAAGATCTCGTTCAATGCGTTCTCCAGTTTTACTGCCCCTCCCCAGACCTACTGAAATTTCATATCTGACCGATTTTTCTATGCAAAGGTTGTCGGGGACTTAATAACAACTCAAAATGTTTGGGCTCATTAGAACTACTCTGTATCATTAGCCACCAGAAGCTGAACCGGGTAAGGAGAAACGATATAGCTGGAATGACTGTTTCGCAACCGGTGGCATGGAGAGGCTTTTTAGGAATTCTGAGAAATCCCGTGTGTTCTAGGAAAATGCATTTCCTATGATGCTACCACACTGAGATCACAACCCACTCTCTTCTCTTCCCCCACCATGATGATTTTTTTTTTTGCTGCTATCTATTGCCATGAGAAAGTGTCTCACTATGTAACCCAGGCTAGCCTTAAACCAACAACTCTCCTGTTTCAGCCTCTGTAGTGCTAAGATTCCATACACGGACCCAGCTAGCAGAAGCTATTTTGAAATCAAAATGGCAACTGAGAATCCTGTTTTTTCACTCCTTCTAGCCACAGGGATGACACCTAGTGAAGAGTTGACAACAAATGGACTTCACTGTCTACGTGGGGTCTCCAGCAGAGGTAGCAAGCACTAAGAAAACCCATTGATGGTGAGGCCAAACATCTAGCATTAACAGCCTCGCTGTCTTCTGCAGGCGTGGGTTTTAAACTCCAGCGAGCATATTGGTGCAATTAAACCCTTTCATGTTAACCAACAAAAATGGTCCTGCTCTCGTATGCTCTCCCAACTGAATTTCAATCCACTCTCAACAAGAGTGCTAGCAAGGAAAGAACCCAGGATGCTCAAAAGGCAGGAGAGTAATCCCACATAGACAGTACATCTTTTAGAAGCCGATTTTGCAAACCATGACACTGCTCACTCAGGGAAAGGAGACACGGAGGACTCAGATGGTGACTCCAAGTGGCAAGCACAGAATGTCCTGTGTCCACAGAGGGCCAGCGATGCAGCGAAATGTATATTAAGTAGTACAGATCTTTTGTATGGAAAGTGGTTGGAAAAATATAATTCTTTCCATGCCATATGTAAATGTATATAACCACCATCCGTTGGTTCATTGAGGGAGGAACTATGACTTACATTCTTTGATGAACAAGTAAGTAAGTGTCAGCACAACTGTATGACCGCTGAAGAGGAAGTCTCCACACAGGATGTGCGATCCCGTTATGGACAACCCACCGCCAGAAATCAACCGGAGAATCCGCTGTATTTTTGCCTGGGAGTCTCCGTTGAGCTGAAGGACAGAAAACACAGAGGAACATTTATTTAAAGAGGCTCGAGATCATGCTTGTTAGAAAAGTAATCAGGCCGTGATTTTTAACGTCTTTCGAAGTTTTTCCTTCTAGCATAAGAAGTCAAAAATATTCCAAAAGGAACCACCTCACACTAGGTTCTCCTCATATGTTGGTAGGGCTTATTGAATTGTCCTAAATTATTCAGTGCGTTACTAATAATACGTTTTAGTGGTGAGGTGGTGTCCTTGGGCAAAGCTTTTAAAAATATTAATAACCAATGAGTTCACCACTATGTGCTAAAAAGTAGATTGGAGTGACATTGTTTCCTTTTGGCAGGAGGAAGTGAGGCTTTGGGGTCATTACCATCCGACTAAGCTAAACGCCGCATCTGTCGGTACCATGTTAAGTCAGTGGCATCAAGTGTACGTACAACCTCATTGGTATATGCCAGAAACTCGGTTACAGGAAACTCATCCCATTATGTAAGGTCTGGAAATGACATTAGGGACTGTACCAGCAAGCTTTCAAAGCTTTGTCCAGGAAAGCCTATCACAAGGAATCTAGTTCTACACTGGAGTCAAGGGTACAGGAGTTTCTCTGAACCACAGTGATGTCATAAAAAATAGTGACAGGTAGAGCAGAAATGTCTGGCAGTAGTTTAAAAAATGTATATCCTATTAAAATGTAAGCATACAAGAAAAAGTCATAATATGAGGCAGGAAACTTAGAAGAGATTTCCTGGGTACCTGGGAGGGCAATCACAGGGAAGCCTAACACAGTGAAAGTCAGTGTTGGGTATCCAAGAATGGCACCTAGGGAGAGAGCGAGTGACAGTCTACAAGAAGGAGAAACAGGACTGGTGCTGAGGAGCCATTCGGGATCTTGGGGGCAGGTTGGTGGCATGCCTGCCTTCTTTGTACTCAGAGATTCTGCCTCTGCATGCTGGTCCCCAGAGCGTGGCAGTCCAGCAGTACCAGCAGATAGGCTGGCAAGGGGAGCAAACGCTGTCGGGTCTTGCCCAGGTGGGCACATGATTGTAAAGGAGGACGTGTCCAGGTGGATGGGGAGAGCCTCAAAGCAGGTAGAACACAGCCCCGCCCAGCACAATAAGGAACCAAATCCGGAATCTTTGCCTAAGACATCTCCCTCTAGGGGACCAGAAAATGTCCTGATTTAAAACACAGTACTACTGCAGAGAGCCACCTGGTTACTAAGAAACCCCCGTAAAGAGGGAAACACAGTTGCTCAACCCATAATAAACCGCTACACATAAATGACTCAGAACAGAATTAGGGTCATGAGGTGCTGAGGAGACATGTTGCCTTAAATTTGCTTCAAGCCTGCCCAGATGGCGGAACTAAAATGAGTTCCCAGCAGCGGACAGTCCTTACTAAGATCTGGCCAAGAGTCTCCTCTCCCATGTTTAAGGGGTGGTTCCAGGGTAGTAGGGTGGTGCTATCAGGAGCCAGCTATCACCCGCCAGGCAGGGTGGCACATGCCTCTGATCCCAGTACTCATAGGGAAGGACAGGAGAGCATGCGCTTGAGGAAGGCATGAAGCCAGTTGATAGGTCACATGACTGACATCAGGAACTCCCCCAAAGGGAGGCGAATGAAATATGCCAGCTAAAGCAGCGTCCCTGACATGGAAGCCACAATACAGCCACGGGAGCTGTCAGTAGTCATTCTTTCCCGTCAGGAGATACAAAAACACTACCACAATGAGATCAAATAGAACGGACGCCCAGGCGCTGCATCCCCAGACCGGAAGAACCTATTGCCCTCATTTCTCCTCCACTCACCTGTCGAGACTCTAATTTTCTGAAGGCAGGAGCATTTAAGAGTCATTAGTCTCTCTCTACTTGGGGCCGGAAACCCTGGGGTGTAAACAAAGGAACTCCTGGACCGCACATCTGCCCCCCTCTTCTGTCCAGCAGTGCCGGTATCTGATAGCCCCTACCCACCTACAGTTTGCTTTCAAAGATCTCACAGTCAGCCACAGCCTGGAAATAGTAAGTGGAAAGCCCCTCTCCCCCCCCCCAAATAGCTTTTCAAGTCTTAACTAACGTTTTTGACAATGCATTAGCATTTCTCCCATTTTATCATTATTTATTTTAAATATTTTACTGTGCCTAGTTAATAAATTTAAACATACATGTATATATATATATATATATATATATATATATATATATATGGAACTGTATATAGAGTGTTCGGTACTATCTGGGCATCTTAGGATGTGCCATTGGTTGGATACTGTTATTGTACAGAGGAAAGGCCTCTCTTGCTTTCCTTGTACATTCATTTGTGTGTGTACATTTATTTCTGTGGGGGGGGGGCAGAGACGTGTGCCCGTGCACATGCCGCAGCAGGCATGTGGAGTTTGGAGGACAACCCATGGGAGTTAGTCCTCTCCTTTTACCATGCGGGCCCTAGGGATCAAATTCAGTTCGCTGGGCTTGGCAGTAAATGCCTTTCTTTACCGGCTAAGCCAGCTCACTGGTTCACTCTGTTAACTTCTTAACCCTTAAACCCGATCACTGGTAATCCTGAGATGGAGGATTATGTTTAAAAAATGCTCAACAGAACTTCACGAGAAGAAAGGACGGGAAGCGAGCAGGGCAAGCCCGGGCAAGGGAAGGATGACCGTGAAGTCCGAGGACTGGACGATCTTGATGGCTTCCTCTAGGCCTAGCTCAGTTCCCCAAGGCTCTCCCACCACACACCAACACTCGTTTCTACTCATTTCCTTGTTTTCAGACATCAGTCTGTGCAGTGTGCTACCAGATCGAAAACCGAAGCCACAGAAACCTAAGAAAGAAGCATCAATCAAAGCACTGAAACACATAGGAGCCCCAGCATTCTAAAGGATTCCCCCCAACTGTGACTCCCGTGTACTACTTCCCTGAGAAAGAAAGGAGGCACACAGCAGTCCACAGAGGCTGACAAACGAGAAACCTGACCTTCACAACTGTCCCGCCCAGGAAGAAAAGCCCTGTGACCCACAGCCAGAGACTGTGCACAGCGAGGGACCTTAGAGCACTCAGCCATAAGTAGGTGTCTCCATCACATCCCTCCCTCAGGGCTCAGGGAACCTTTCAGAAGTGGAGACAGAAAGGCTGTAAGGACTCAAAGAAGTGTTGTAGGAGAGATGAGGCTGATGCTGGAGCCTGGGAAGCCGCTCTGAGAGAACTCTGAGTTGTGTGAGCCATTGGTTCCAGACAGGGACGCCCGCCGTCTCAGAGAGAGGTTTTGGCGCGTGCACATCTGTCATTGCTCCCTCTGAAGGACACTCACTAGCCTTGCCAACACAGGAAACAGGTAGGTATCTAAGAGCCTTGTGGCCACAAGCACTGAAAGCTTAGAAGCAGCACTTGGGCCAAATTTAGACAGCAACTTTGATCCCTGCCCTCTGTCACCACATCTCCTCCAGCCAGACAGGGAAAAGCATGTGTCTGTTTACGGAACCGAGGGGCAGGCAACTACAGTCTGCTTCTGAGGAGAAGAGCCTGCTCACTGAATGTGGTGGGAGATTAGCCGGGGAACCTCCCACAGGCGGGGCTGCAGCTTGGTTCTTGCACGGCTCTTTAGTGGGGTGGCTTTGGAAAACTGCAGTTCTTCCATAAAGGGTAACCTTAGGTCTGCCTTTCTCTCATCAGTGACCTTTCCCGGCTAACCTCATCCATTCCTAGGAAGGGTTTGCCCCTCTGCGGTGGCCACCTCACCACGGAGCACACTGTAATACTGTCCAGTAGTGAAGTCTCGGGCAGGCTCATTATGTTTCTAAACTCTCATGTCTTAAATTAGTTTCAGTCAAAGGCAGCCAGTGTTTAAATTCAGTGTGTACACTGTTTTAATTACAGACACGTTTTGCTTCGATGGCTTTGGGAAATGACCGCCTTTCCAAACCACACCTATATTTGGTAAGGGAGACGGCCGGCTCCTCCCGAACTGTTCTGCCCTCCTTCCCTCCTGACATCTGCTTAGTGTTCAGTGAAGTCCAATGTCAGCCCTCTTTCCCTCGGCCAGAAAACACATGATCGGTAAGTTTCCATTTCATAAAACCAGAGTGCACAGGGGTCTAAGATGAAGACTGTCCCTCCTGAGCCCGGATGCCCTGTGAAGAAACTGTAACTTCCCTTCAGACGGCTTCAGCAACAGCACAGCCTACTCTGTCTTCCCAATGGCTAATCATCTGCAGTGGCTCTTGGCTTTTCTCTCTCAAGCCCTATCCACGCCAGTATGTTCTGTCAGTTTTACTGGTAAGACGTGTCCTGCATGAAATGACATCAGTTCCGCGATGGTGACCACCAAGGCTCACAGGAACAGTGAGAATCTTTGCAGCCTGTGGCCAGTGCTGCTGACACCCTTCACACACACACTGCCTGCTGTTCCTTGAACCCAATGCAGATAAACTGTTCTCCCGGCCTGTAGCTCTCAACCAGCCCATGTGGTTAGCTCTCTCCCTTGCTTCCTGCCAATTTTTTTTCTAACATCTTTTCTTGACCTTTCTGTAGAACAGTTCCTGCTGTTTTCCTGTGACAATCGCCTGACTTAGCATCACGTGATACATGAAGAATTTATTGATTACTTATTGTTCCTTGAGAGACGCTAAAGGGAAGGGCCTGCGCTTTGGCCATTACAATGCCTGGGACCATAAGTGACATCCCGTACAGAATAAGAAAGTGAAGAAACCAAAGAGCCCAACACTGGTGGATTTTTAGTCAGCAGAAAACCAATTCTTTATATGTGGAAATGCAAAGTTCTTAATGAACACATTTCCCCCGATCTAAAGCAAATTAGAGACTATGTTAGATTGCAGCTAACACCTATGGAAGTGTATGGAGGAATGTATGAAGGAAGGGGTGAGGCTTTGGGATTGCTCTATTGATTCATCTCTGTGGGACCCGGAGACTTACCTTTGGAGCACACTGGAAGTGCATTCCTGGCACAGGTAACGTAGTGACGTACATAGTTATGCAGCGATATAGGTATAACGTTCCGATGATAAAGAAGAATCTGCGCCCCACTATAGACCTAAAGGGAACACCGGGAGGGGGAGAAACAGGTTTACCAGTTGTCTGTCTGGACCACACTATACACTCAAGTCTTGCCTCAAACTCATGATCCTCTGGCCTCGGCCTCCCGAGTGCCGGAATTACAGGCGCAAGCTACCATGCCTGGCTCCCTGTATTTCTCATGCAATGTAAATCAATCTTTAATTGACTAAAAATAATAGAAACAATGGAATTAACAAATAAATCTCAGCTTCACAGAATTTTAAGGCCTTTGAGCAATCCTATAGTCCATAGTGGGACTGATCACATCTCCATAAAGAAATATTCATACACTGAAGTATAACTAAGTGATCTGGGGCCTGAAAGGACGAAGAATGTGGGGACAGAGGACACTTTAGAGCGCAAAGAGTCTATATAGTCTCCGCTCCTAAAGAGTGTCTTCCTTTGCCAGGGAATTCAATCAGTCTTTCTGTTTTCAGTCAACTCGCCGATTAACAAAACCCTCTAGAGAACACATCGGAGGTGTAAGTGAGCGGTGGCCATAGAGGAATAATCTAATGGATCAGGTGACATTACATAATTGGATACACAGGGAACTGTGACAACTCATTAAACCCTAGTTATGTAAGCAAGATTTTAATTGGGACCATTCAGAGATAGTCTGACAGTTTAGGCCTGAGTTGCTGTCTGTGACTGTATACATTTGCAGAGAACTATATTCTCACCGTGTCCAAAGTAAACTACTGGATGGATTTGCTATTATCTTATTCACGATTGATTTTTAAATGGCAAAAGAAAATAAAAAGGAGGACAAGGGTTAGAATTGTTTGCCTTCTTCTGAACAAGGTTGCACTATCGTTTATTGGGGCATTACTAAAGCATTATTTATGACAACCACAAAATACAAACCGCCTAGAAGTGCCCACAAGCTGATGAACAGATAAGGAGAGGCCATGTGCATGTCCAATGCTGTACTATTCAGACATGAAAGCCGAGTCCAGTCCTGTCATTTGTGACAGGTTGGATGGAACTAGAGATCATCATACTTAGCAAGCCGGGCATAGGAAAATGAGCGCAGAATATTTTTTTTTTTTTGCCAACTTAAAAAATGTTGTTTAGAGAAGTTGAGCACAGACTAGAGTTTATTAGCGATGGGGGTGACTCTGTATGTTTAGGAGGGGTTATATGGGAAGGCTGATCAATGCATACTAAGTCACATTTCGGAACAGGATGTGCTGAGATTTTCCATACAGCAAGATGGCTACTGTGAACCATGTACTCTCCATTTCAAAAATGAGTTGGAAAGATGAGGTATTTTGTCATAGAGGATTGATAAGTAGGCTGGAGAGACGGCTCAGCAGTTAAGGGTACTGGCTGCTCTCACCCGGAACACAGGTTCGATTCCCAGCACCTACATGGCAGCTCATAACCACCTGTAATTCCAGTTCCAGAGAATCCGATGGCCTTTGTGGGCCCCAGGCTTGCACATGGCACATAGAACACATGCATGCAAAACACGCATATACATAAAATAAAACAAATTTTTAAAAATGTTTTTAAAAGAAGTGCTTAAAGAGAGGCATATGTTTAACTTGAACGTCACCTAGTACACACATATGAATTTATACATAATACCTCATTATGGAATCCAATTTTGTAAGCTTTCATGTACCAGTTAAAAATGAAAAGATCTAGGGTTGTGGCTAGCTGTTAGATAGAAGAAGTCCTTGGTTTGATTTCTACTACTATATAAACCAATACCTTGAATTTGGGAGACCGTAGCAGCAGAATCAATAACTTTAAGGTCAACACGAGCTACATAATGAATTTAAGGCCAGTCTCTATCTCAAAAATTAAAACAAGGGGGCTGGAGAGATGGCTCAGTGGTTAAGAGCATTGCCTGCTCTTCCAAAGGTCCTGAGTTCAATTCCTGGCAACCACATGGTGGCTCACAACCATCTATAATAAGGTCTGGTACCCTCTTCTGGCCTGCAGGCATACATGTAGACAAAATATTGTATACATAATAAGTAAATAAATAAATATTAAAAAAAATTAAAACAAAATTTAATAAAATTAAAACAAAAAGAAAAAGAGATTGGTCAAGAAATTAAGAGCAAAAGCCCTTTTCCCTGTGCAGCTTTAAGGAAGAGAGCGTCTTGACTGTGGCTCTGGGCTCTTCGCACTCTTCAGCCTAAGCCTGTTCTGGAAGCTGACTGAGCTCACCAGCCAGGGCTTTGCCAATGGCATGACTGTATGAGGGCTTCCATCTCACGGTGACAGCCCCCTTTCTGTTATGTCTGCAAGCGCTGGCTCTGAACATGGATGGGAATGAGTGGGACTGCGTCACCCACCTCCAGCTGTTGGCTTTAACTTCTCTAGAACATACCGTGTACTCCCTCCGCTGGGCTTCTCACCCTCCCAGCTCTCAAACTTTACAAACCACCACTGCCCAAAAGACTCTTAGAATAACTGGCACCCTCAGAGATGAGGAGTATTTTAAGTTTTCTCCAAGACACATGGTTCTCACATGGACCAAGGTCAAATTCAGGTAACTGCTGGGACTTCTAATTTAAAAGAAAAAAAAAAGTATAAATATCTATTTTGGTTGTTTGCCACTGACAGCTATTTCAAGAACATTCCTAGGTTTCAGGTGAGGGGAGATGAAAGAAGTAGACCCAGGGTAGCTAGCTGGAAGTGCTGACTTACTGTGTACTTGGTAACCTAGCTTTGTTGTCTTAGTACTGAAAAGGAACAGACAGTCAACAGTGCTGGCTGTTTTTCCTTGGTTAAGTGAAAGCAATTCACTCTGTGAATTCAAGCCCAGGCCCCACAGGAGCGCTGCTCTGAATTGTGCTTCATGCTATTAGACAACAATAAGAAATAAGGAAATATTATTAGGAGTCAATTAGATTCATTCCAGCATTCTGCGCCCAGAACAGAAGATTAACTTAGTTGAAACACTCACTCCCCAGTCTTCCTTAGAAAAAAAGAACTGTTCACGGTGTGTTTTTCCTCAGAGCTTTTGAAAGAAACAGAGACATGAGAGGTATCTCCGTGGTAGAGGGTTTGCCTGGCATGTGTGAGGTCCTGGATACCAGAACCAAGAAAAAAAGAAAGAAAAAAAAAAAAAGGGACACGTTGAGAGAGGCTGGGATTCGCAGAATTTCTTACTCAGCTAGGACTTTAAGAAGAAAGTTATGACAATTCTACCAGTTACCAAAATCCAAGGTCCAAATCTACTTCAAAACTGAAATGGCAGATTAGTGCCGTTTGTGATCTTAGCAGTAGGTAGAAAGTACATGGCCCAGGTGTGTGAGTGATCCTGAGTGTTTTTTAATAGATATTTTCATTTCAGTTAGCATGTAGCAATTGAAGATGTTTCATAGCAGAGAGTGTGAAATTTCAGTATCAGTGTGTAATGATCAGGGCAGGATAAGGCGTAGCTCTTCCTTTGTTCCTTTTTTACGTTTTCCTCTGTGGCCTGGGGATGTAACCCAGGGCTTCGTGCGTGTGAGCCCAGGGATGTACTGAGCTACATCCCCCGCCAATACCATGCGTCTTGACATGGTGGGCTCTGAGACGACCACAGGAAGACAGTTATAACAGCTAGATCTCACCGAAACCAAGACGAAGGCTCCTCTGTAGACAGACGCCAGACACATACTAGACTAAACAGCTCTTCATGCAAATGTGAATATGAAGAGCCTTCACACCCAAACTGAAGGAGAAAGCAACCAGCCATAGCCTATGCAAGCCCTTACTATGTTTAGTGTCGCGTCCAAGCACTAAAAAGAAACTATCATTCAATAAATACAGCCTTGCTTTTAGCATAAAAAAAAGCCACAACTGACTTGTGCAGCAGCGATTCACTTCTACTATGTAAAAAGCAACTGATCGCTCTTTTAACGAAATATACTGATGAAATATTTTGAGAGTTATAATAAAGAAACTTTATGCACGATGGCTTCGGTTTGCCATGCAAGTTTTGAAAACTGCAGGGTTGCATTTGGGAAAGCAGGCTGAATTCTTTTAGTTACAAAGCAACAGTCAACTTTATTCTCTCTTCTAAATGGAGTTTTTGTCTGTTTTGTGTTTTAGGTTTGTTTTTTTTTTGTTGTTGTTGTTGTTTTGTTTTTCGAGACAGGGTTTTACTGCAGCTTTGGAGCCTGTCCTGGAACTCGCTCTTGTAGACCAGGCTGGCCTCGAACTCACAGAGATCTCCTGCCTCTGCCTTCCAAGTGCTGGGATTAAAGGTGTGCACTGCCCGCTGACTCTCTCCTAAAAGCCACCTTGTGGCACTAACACTGAACTCTTATTTGACTTTGAATTTTGAAGCTGTGTTGTGGGAGTTCCCAAGCCTCACTTTTTGTTAAAAAGCCCTAAATTGTGGGTATTTTACTCAAACTTGTATTTTAGGGACTTAATTCCTGGGATCCAGTAGAAAGCAAACATCCAAAGACAAATGAGAGGACGGGGAATTGAGTGGCCTCTAATTTTGTGGAACAGACGTCAGAATTCACACAGAGAAGCAGAAATAGCCATGTCAGAGCTGTGCCCAGTTTTGTAACATATCATCAAGGTGATAGCTTACTACTCCCCGGCTGGTACAGTTCTGAGATGGGGGAGGAAGGCAGGGGCTGAACTATTGAGCCGTGTTCTCATATTCAGTGCCAAGAGGAAGACAAGTTTACTTTAGAGATCTAAAACCCTAACCACCAAAACCCAGTTCCAAATTCAGCTTCTTAAACAAACACTGGTTACTTTGTGCCTGGCAGGAAAAGGACAAGAAAGGAAAGAAAGCTTAAGAACTTTTGAATAGACATAAACTCAAAGCAAACTGTTGACGGCGGACCAATCATCCCATAATAAATTAGTGTCCCGGCCTACTTCCTACTGCACCTGCAGAGAGCCTGAAAACACGCTAGTCCTTTCCTATCATCTTCTTCCTTTGTAGTCCTGGCTGTCCTGAGCTCTCTGTGTAGACCAGGTTGACCTCAAACTCACTGCTACCCTTCTGCCTTTGCCTCCCAAGCGCTGGGATCAAAGGCGTGTCCAAGCATCTTGATTCAGGGTAGGAGTATGACACCATAGGACTGGAGACAAGGCACTGCACTGTAAATGGGTAAACTGAGTCCCTCTCCACACACAAGACTACTGCAGCTTCCTGCTCTCACTCGTGCCGGCCACTCGATGACCACTTGCGGAAGAGCGGCTGAGTTTATTCAATGATGCCTAAACCAAATGCATTAGAAGAATCTGAGAAAGGTAATATTAATGACACATCATCTCTTTACAAAGCACACTGAACCCAAACCCAAATCCATTATTAGTCAACACTTACTTGTATCTCAGGAAAAGCCACTGGGTGATCCATAACCCAACGAGTACAATCCCATTTATTTCTGATACAGAAAATGCCCATTTGACACGGTCGACATAATCAAAAAACTTGTCTGGGAGTGGAGGGCTGAGCTCCTTGGGAGGGACCCTCTCGTGCACGACTGTGATCATGACAGTCGTCAGGACGAGGTTGAAGAGAGCGTACACAAAAGCAATGCCTGTTTTCCACCACTCCAGGGGAAACTTGTTTCTGGAGTCAGTGGGCATAGAAATCTGGATGTAGTCCGGGTACTTTTTGGTGCCCTTTCGTAGCCCGTTGGACAAGCTCTTGGGTTTACCATTGCCATTTTTGTTTTCTTCTTCTACAGCTTCAGCAGGACTTGTGTAAGTGTCGGGAGAGTTACTGGTTTGGTTTTCCAAATGACCTTCATGTTTTGCTGTCTCTATGATATCCATCGTCTGCCAGCCTTCGGAGCTACAGGAGATGGTCAGGTTCTTGTTCTCTGTGGAAACGTAACTCTTTTAAATCCTTCCACTTCCAAGATCAACATGGACTCTTAGAAGGGATTGTATATGCTGGTACAAAATGTAGATGGTGGCTTTCCGGTTCTTAGTTCCTCCCATACAACAATCTGCTGGGTATTCACACAAGGAAGGCAACTCTCTTTCCCACCGAAGATGATGTGGTCCCTCCTAAGGACAAAGGAAAACAAAGTCAGCAATGGCTTGTCTAATTCCCAACCATTCGAGATGCAAACATTCTCAGAAGGAAGGTAACTAATACCAAAGCGCCTGCTCTACTAAGACATCCTCAGAACAAAATCAGTGCCCCTGAGATTGGATTTATTTATATAGTGCTGGATTGTACAGTGCCCAAGCTTGGGACTCTTGTCTGTCCTTGAGCTAATGTCAGCATATCTTAACAATCAATTTCCTGTTCATTTCTTCTGATAGAGCCAGGACCTAACATTTTGAACACTTCACAAGTTGCTAACCATGAAGTCATAATATGCTAGAACCTACCTGGAGACCACACACTCCTTCCTGATCTGCAAAGAATGGATGACGAACCGTTTCTAAGAAAAGGGATCCAACAGTGGGGCATGGTGGCTCACACTTGTAATGACACCATTCAAGAGGTTGAAGCAGGAGGACTACGATGACTTTGAAGTCACCCCGGGTGACAAAGTGAGTTCCAGGTTAGTTAAAGTGTGAAAGAAACCCTGCCTGAAAACTATACAATAAAATTTTAAAGGATTTGGAAGCTCTGCTGAATTGCTGGATGGTTGCCATGCTCATTTTCCAGAACAGTCCAGTTTCTAACTTCCCTATTTAAAAACCTATGATCCCTTTGGTGACTGCTTTCATGAACTTCAAAGCAACACAGTCAACCTATTTTAAATGACACTGCCTTGGTTTCCCCTTTTGTAGACACACACACACCACAAACAAAGTCAACAACCTTCAAACTAACAAAGTTACAAAGCCTTCGCTGGGTCTCATTTGGGAGGAGGGTAGAGGAGCAGCCTCAGGGGAACGTCCTAAAACCGCCACAGGAAACTGATAACTCATCGATACAACCACCAGTTTCTACCGAGCAACAGCATCTGGCATTCAGCAGGCGACTTGAAGCACTTACCTTTCTGTGGCTGAGGAAAGGCACCTTCGGCTGAAGTGCCCCAGGCTCCACAGAGGAGCAGAGACTTCTTACCACACTGAGCAAAGCCGGCGACTCTTATACTAGCTCACACTATGGCCCAGCTGTTCCCAATTTAGGAAAGCAGCAGTTCAGTCGGGCCACCAGCCCAGCCACCTGAAGAGTTCTGCAACCTTGTAATTAGTCTCCACCCTGAGTACACTGCACAACTTTAGCATCCTTCTTCCAGTCTTAAAGGCCTCCTTCGCAGGGTAAATACGGTTAAATTCAACGTAGTGACAGCTAAGCCTTTAAACGGATGTAAAAAGAGGAAAGTTTAAGTGGCTCGGTTAATACCTCCAGGTATTTCCTTGACACTACGGTGGCACACAGATCAACTACAGGAGTTTATTGTACACTTCCCATCTCAACACTGAGGAACGCAGGGGCCGATTAAAGGCTGGTTGGCTTGTTCGTTTTTGTTGTTGTTGTTTTAAGAACACAGGGACTAAGGAGATGGTTCAGACATAAAATGCCTGCTGTGCAAGCAGAAGGACCTGAGTTTGGATCCCCAGCACCCACTTAAAACCACCAGGCAAGGTGGAACACACCAGCAACTCCAGTGTGCTTGCAGGAGTGGGCACGGCAACTGGAGACGAGTGAATCTCTTGGGCTCGCTGGCCAGGCAGTCTAGCTGAATTAGTGGGATGCAGACTGACAGCCCCGGCTCAGAAAAGAGGGTGCAGAATGTCTAAGGAAGACACCCAATGTTGACCTTTGGCCTGCGTGCATGCATGTGGCTCACACATGAACTCAGCCAAGAGCAGCTGGTTGAATCAGAGAGCTAGAGCCACCACACGGCTCTGGGAGACAAGGAAATATCCATATTGTGAAAGAAAGACGGAGAAGAGTTGGCCCCCAGATAAAAAATTAGATTTATGTGTTACATATCCCTCTCCTCTGGCAAGAGGCATCCACCTGCAGACACAGCCCACCCTTGAGAAAGAAAAACCAACAGGGAAGTTGATCTGGTAGAAAAATAGGATCAGCGGAGGGTGAGTAGCCACGAGGGGTCACTCCCAATGGCTCACTTTCCTATTGCTATTTTGAAAAATCTCCCAGCTACCAAGACACTAGAGAAGGTGGGAAAGCCGGGGTTCCTCCAGCCTGACCAATGTTCTCTGCAGTGCCTTGGGAAATGCCACGGGAAGAATGAGTGTCACAAAGAGGAGCCCTGGCAAGACGACTCCAACAGTAACTTCTCTCCACCACGGACACCTTCTTCTGAGGAAGACACCCTCAAGCAGCGAGGGCTGGTGTCTACCCACTCCAGCCTAGTTGACTAACATATTCCTCATGTGCTCCCAGGGTGGTGTTCATGCCTACAGGAAGCTTCATCAGTGGACATACAGGTGGCCTTTGTAAGGTCGTCATCTAGTTCTAGAACATAGAATGTGGAGAGGGAAATCCAGTCACTCTTTTTCCCCAAGAGGAAGAGCTCCAGCACCTATCTCAGGGGACCAGTATGAACCTCACAGAGATAATGATCGTGCTGAGCGCGAGCCGTTAGGAGGAACTGGAGGAGTCACTGAGTGAGCGCAGTACCCACTGAGTGTCATTAGCAGGAGCATAGATATTTTCCTAGGGATTTCATTATGGTTGAATGACACCTTTGTCTGTGTCGTTCCACCACCAGACTCAATGTTGTGACGATGATGACCATGCCATATTATCCCTTCCTCTCACTGCCTGAGAAAAATGACCAAAGCCACTTCTTTGGGTGACAATTCCATTAGTCAACCTGCTTGGGTTTCCACACCAGAGCACAAACCAGCACCAAGCTAGCCAAGTACCATGAGCTAACCTAGGTAACACAGAGACAGTTCAAAATCTTTACAAACCCGCCTGTCTTGTGAGAGCAAATGCAATATTCTGAGATTGGATTTTGGTGCATCAGTATGACCCTTTTCATTTTATAATCACAAAGTTGGACATACTACTGAAATTGAAGTACTGTTTATAATTAGAAATTGAGTATACTAAAATCTAACAGAAGCACATTTTTCAGAGGTGATTAGCAGGCTGGAGATAAGCCTCTGCAGTTAGGAGCATCGCCTGCTCTTGCAGAGGACCTGGGTTTGTTTCCCAGCACCCATACTGGGTGACTCAAAACCCCTGTAACTCCACCTCTAGGAGAGCCAACACCTTTCCTGGCCTCCGCGGACACCTGCACACATATGGTGCACTTGCAGACACACATTTCCTCACATCTACACACAAACAGAAATACATCAACCTGTTTTAAAGCAATTATCTTGAGCGAAGTAAAAGGGGCATTTGATAAGTTTCAGTTTCTATTCTGCAGATGAAAGTATCCAGGGCAGGCATGGGAATAGCATTGCTAGGCTCTGCTGGTGTCAACACCATGTTTAGTTGTGTATTATGTGAGCTGATGTCTTGTGCGAAACATTCCCACTGGCGCTTCCCCTTGCCCTCCTTGAGTTGAGAATCCTCTGTTGAGTGACAGGAGATCACGTATCGTGTTTCTGCATCTTATGTCTGTCATCTTCACTACTGCTCAGTAAATCAACTGTCCTAGCCGGGGTCTCTTGTTGCTGTGAGAAAACACTGGCCGAAAAGCAAGCTGGGGAGAAAATGGCTTCTTTGACCCACACTCCCATGGCACTGAACATCACTGAAGGAAGTCAGGACAGGAACTCAAGCAGGGCAGGAATCTGGAGGCAGGCGCTGATGCAGGGGTCATGGGGGAGTGCTGCTTACTGGCTTGTTCCCCATGGCTTGCCCAGCCTGCTTTCTTCTAGAACCCAGGACCACCAGTACAGGGATGGCACTGCCCACCATGAGCTGGGCCCTCCCTATCAGTCACTAATTTAAAAAACATCCCATAGGCTCGATTACAACCTGATTTGATGGAGGCATTTTCTCAGTTGGGGTTCCCTTCTCTCAGTTGCCTCTAGTTTGGGTCAAGCTGACATAAAACCAGTCAGCACACCAGGACAAGTAAGCAGCCATGTAACTAATGAAAAACATAAAACACGTACACAAGAAACCAGTTTTCTCATGCACATACTATTGGATTATACAGGTTAAACACCCATGCATCTTTATGACAGAACCTGTAAGATTTGAAAAACCTAACATAAATATGCTGAACACCTGACCACAAGTTATCGGATTGATAGACTTCCCATATCAAAGGACAAAACTGTCCTCAAATCCTCATAATTAATTACAAGAAAATATTTGTAATTTTTGTGAAGAAAACTATGAAAAAAACAACAATACCGATGGTAAGAAAACAAACACAGAGACACCACCCTCTTAAGAAGGGAGAGGTGATACTCTATTGAGACAATACGCTATCACACTATCATAGTCACAGATGATATGCTATCACACTATCATATTCACAGATGATACGCTATCACACTATTATATCCACAGACAATACACTATTGAGATGATATGCTATACACTATTATATTCATATATAATTTGTCATTGAATTCTAACAATCCCGGTAGGATTTCTCCCGTAATTTGACAAGAGCTCTAAAACGGGAGGGGCACTCGATCTGTGCCATTACACCACACCATGGTGCTGCCATGATGGCACTTTCACCCCATCCCTAATTTTTGAGTGCATCCCCCCAATGAAATAAGAAGCACACAAACTATTTAAGCATGTTTTCAATGTTCATTGGAAGAAAAATTTGTAAAACACTCAATATCCAACATAGGGACTAATTCAGAAGCTTGTGAATCTCTCACTGTTAAGAAGTACTCTGGGGCCGGGCGGTGGTGGCGCACGCCTTTAATCCCAGCACTCGGGAGGCAGAGGCAGACGGATCTCTGTGAGTTCGAGGCCAACCTGGTCTACAAGAGCTAGTTCCAGGACAGGAACCAAAAGCTACAGAGAAACCATGCCTCGAAAAATCAAAAAAAAAAAAAAAAAAAGTACTCTGCGGTGGTATGAATGGGCTGCCTGTTCGCAACCTGAAAAACTCTGAAATGCTGAAAAATCTAAAACCACATGA